CACTGGCTGTGAACATTCTAAACTAACACAAGTCTCATTAAGTGTCCAGTTTAAGGGTATTACACAGAAACATACCAAGGGAACATGAATCAAATATGCACCTTTATTCATTTACAATAAACTCATAAAGTACATCATTCTCATTGAAGCTAAGGGCATACAAACTGTCTAACATTCTTGGTTGTACAGCTTTAGTAAACTCTTTCAGTTTTATACTGCAATAAGGTTTTCTCACTTGTTCGAAAAATGGATAGGAATTAGAGACAATAGGAAATACAACCCTCAAAGTACCAAACAACAGGATGTTTCCCTAAAACTAATGTCTTTACAAAATTATTTCCTTGAGTATTCCACCAAAAGAAAATGTTTCTGCATGTAGAATTTTGCATCTTCATTAAAGTTCTCTTAGTAATGAAACAAATAACAAGATTCTTATATTAGTTAAGTACAAAGTACACACCATAATAGCAATATATCTTCCATTTGGTCTTGCATTCAGTAAAAGATGTCTATCATTCTAAGTCCTATTTCAACTGCTTGATCTCAAATGCATGAACTCTTTTCCAGAAACCTAGTAACCAGGGCCATATATGTGAACCATTTTTTAGCCACTTAAATATCCTATTCACTCTTGTTCATTGTAGGAGTGCAACTTTGGTTGGCCCGAGTTAGGATTTTACACTGCTTCAGGCTTGAGCCTTCAGACCATGCCCATTTAAATTTGGACAAAAGCCCAACCCAAGCCCACCCAAGTTGCACCCCGTAGTTCATTGGAGCTTTGAACTTTCTCCAAACCATTGCAATTGATCTTTGTTGCATATAACTAGAAGATTATACTTGAAAATACCCTACAACTGCATCATAGCTTGGCAATTTCTTACCTGGGGAGATATTGATGTATGGAAGAATACAACCCCTGACCAGAGGATCTGGAAACTTAATCCTGCCTGCAAGTTCTCCACTAACTCCTTTTTCAAGGCTCTAGTATCGGAAGATCGGGGTTCTCCCTTTCCGGTTAAGAAGGTCTGGAGCTCATGTATCCCCCTTAGAGTCTCCTTCTTTATTTGGGAGGCTTGCTTAAAGAGAATCAACACTTGTGATCTGATCGAGAAAAAGTCTAGAGGCAGATTATGTATCTCCCCCCATATCTGTACTCTTTGCCTCTGTGATGGAGAGACAGCTAAACACATTCTTCTCTGCTGTCCTGTCACAAGGAAGGTCTGGTGCTATTTCCTGAACTTAGTGGGTTACAGGTGGGTGTTCCCAGAGAAGGTGGTGGACCTCCTACGGCAATGGCAAGGCAAAAGGCTAGGAAAAAGAGGAAGACTCTACTGGAGCACGGTGACTCATGCAGTCCTGTGGGGCATTTGGGAAGAAAGGAACAATAGAATTTTTGAAAAATATAGCTATAAATGTTGAAGACCTAGCTTCCTACATTACTTTTCTCTGTAACCTTTGGGTGGCTAATTCTGAAGTATTCAAAGGTCTCTCCTTAAATGATCTTCAGAGCAACCTTTTAGCAGTCCTGCACTCTACAATAACTGAATCGACTATGAGACTTTTTTCTAGAGAGGAAGGAGTGATGACTCTAAGCTTTGATGGTAGGGCCCAAGGCTCTACAAGTAAAGCAGGAATTGGAGGTGTTATCCATGAGGAAAGGGGGAATATCTGCTGGGATTTTAGTGGTCCAATTGGGAGGGCAGATGTTTCAAAGGCAGAGGCCTTGGCTGCACTCACAGCCAAGATTTAGGAGAGTAGCATCAAACTGGCAGTTTGCATAGAACTTGGCTGAGGCCATTGTGAAACTCTTACAAACATGAAGATCAATGTAAATCACACAAATACAATTCCATGATTTGCTATTGTTATTAGAAATCATCTCCATTGCAAATTATAATTTATAATTATTTCATAATTAATTTATCAAAAAAAATATTTCATAATTATAATTTATCAAAAAATCATTTCATAATTATATGAGCTTTTCTAAAAAGTGCTAATTCAAGAACTGTTAATAGAATAGGACAAAGGAGGAAAATTCTTACTTTCTCAGCCTCAACCACTACCATGAGACGACCAAGGATTTCTTGGTCTGATAGTCTTGAAAAACGAACAAGTGCACATCTACTCTGAATGGGCTCAATAATCTTAGAAGATGTATTGCATGCAAGTGCAAACCGTGTGGAATTTGAATATATTTCCATTGTCCGTCTCAAAGCCTGTTGTGCTCCAGATGTCATACTGAACTTGTTCAAGACAAATACAGCACCAGGGAAAAAATGTGATTAGACTGCAATAGAAGGCTGGCAAACAAAACCCAAGCATCTAATTCTGAAATAAATAGAATACATAGAAGCAGAGAATATCCAATTGTTTAGGAAAGTAAAGCAGAGCAAATACAGCACCAGGGAAAAAATGTGATTAGACTGCAATAGAAGGCTGGCAAACAAAACCCAAGCATCTAATTCTGAAATAAATAGAATACATAGAAGCAGAGAATATCCAATTGTTTAGGAAAGTAAAGCAGAGCAAATATAAAACCTACATGAGAAACATGAAACATTTTGAATTTTCTCAAAACAAGTCATTATCATCAGCAATTACCTGTCAGCTTCATCCAAAATTATTATTTTGTGTCGCCCCGGGGGCAGTGTTACTTTCTTCTGGGCAAACATTTTAATTTTGTTTCTTACAACATCAATTCCCCTGAAATAAGAAATAATCAGTAATAAAATAATTGAGAAAAGGGATAAAACAGAATGGCTAAAAGCACCTATAGAAACAATTCATGTTACCTGTCATCTGATGCATTTAGCTCTAAAACAGCCTCCTTGCAATTTGCTCCTAATAGCTCATGTGCAAGGGCCAGTATACTTGTTGTTTTTCCAGTTCCTGGAGGACCCTGAACATTGCACAAGAAAAGGAAAAAACAAAATAAGCAAAGTTCTTTATGTTTGCATATGTACATTGAGAGAGAAACGAGGGGAGAGATTCTTTATTGTGTTTTTGGATGTTTATGGAGCTTGGATACATTAACTTAAATATTGGTGGATGTTCCCTAGCTAGCTTATTTTGAACTGATCGGTGCCGGGGAATGGAGATTGGCGATAACTGAATTTATCCCCCCATCGGATGGTTTCATATTAACAGCTTCTTTGTACTCCAGGAAGAATCATATCCATTATTTCTTAACAACTTGAATGACCCAACTATAAATTATGAAAATGTGGGTTTAACTGCTATCAGAAACTACGATAAAGTGAGTTCGTTCACAGCGTGAAACCCAAGTCCTTCTCTATTGAGGTTGTGCAGTGTATATGCAAGAAGAATAAGAAGAATTTAAACGAATGACTGGTGGGTCTACCAATTTACGGAATAAATTTATATACATATGAGAGAGAGAGAGAGAGAGTAAAATACATAAGAAAGGGGGGTGGGTTAAGGGAAAGTGAAGCAGGGCCACTCGCTAAGCTCCAGTGTCAATATAGAAGTAATAGACGAATCAGAAATGGAAGATTTTCTTACAGATAAGATGAGATTAGGCATGTTCCCGTCTTTTGCAATGACTTGGAGCCTTGAGACGGCATCTTCGTTGCCAACCACGTCGGCTACTTTGGTGGGTCTATATTTCTCCACCCATGGAATCTCGTAGCTGCCATTTGATGACGAAGAAGAAGAAGAAGCAGCAGCAGCCATTGACGAGTACCGAACAGAAACAGCTGCCTATCAATGCTAATAGAGATCAGTTCCTCTTACTCTATAGCTCTCCCGCAGAAATAAACTGCAAACCCTTGAAAATGGAGGGAAACGCAATAATGGGCAAGGCTTTTCTTTCGCTACGCTTTTTTCAGATTTACCCCTCTATGTTTATCTATTCTATTTATGCCCCCTCTCCTGTCCAACCATAGACTGACTAGACACTTTACGTAGATGTGGTGTCACGGGATGTCAACGGGTCGAGTTTGGCACGGGTTTGCCTCAACCCTAACTCGACCATCCAGCACTCCGAATCGAACCCGACCCGATTCGATTGTACTTTATTTTTAAACCCGAACCTGTGGGCTTAATCCGATCCCGACCCATCTCGACTCGTATAATTTTATATATATTTTTTAACACATTTTGAATACCTAAAATATATTAATTTAAGTAAGGAAATTGTTCTATAAATTCTAATATATTATTTTTTTTATTTAAAAACAAATCAAAATCAACATATAAATAAATTATAAATTTTAAACCTATAAAATTAAAAATCAAAAAATTATAAGAACACGATATATATACAAAATATCATGACCCAGTGGGTAATTCAACCAAAACCTGATTCTAATTCGAATCAAAAATCAAAACCCTAACCCAATCCTAACCCGACCCTATAGGATGCCGAATTTACCATTTAATTCGATCCATTGACATCCTTACGTGGTAACACTAAAGCCCCCAAACTTGTGGATTGCACCGCTAGTCTGCTAGCGCTAGGTAGCTGCCTAGCATCCTACTCACATGCCAAATAAAGCATGATTGGTAATCGGGTCGGATCTATCCAACAAAACCGAACCAATCCAACCGATTATGTCGGTTCTAATTCTATGGTTTTGTCCCTATTAATAAGTGGGTTGAACTGGTTCTTGCTGAACTAGAACTCTAAACAGGTAGGTTCTGGGTTGGGATAGGGTGGCCCCAATCCTATTAATTGAGACAAAATCAGACCCAAAATCGTTCTCATAGGAACCATACTGTGTTAATAGTCAGGTAGACTAAGTCCAAATTCGTTATACCTGATTAATTATATTGAAAATTACATTCATATATTTATTTAATAATTTAAAATTAAAAAATTGATGATATAATCTAAATAAAAATGATATTAAAATGTTAAAGTATTTATATGTTAATAAATTAAATATTTTTAACTAATATTATGTTAAATATTATCTATCATATTTACCATTTAAACATAAAATATGATAAAAATTATAAAAAATAAGAAATCTGTTTATATATATAATAAATAATTGGTTCTAGATCTGAATTGGGTCAAGACAAAATATCGAGAAATGACCCAATTATTAATCAGAACAAAATCACAGAAACATAAACAGATTTAATCGGTTCAATTTGGTTTGGTTCGGGCTGTCGGGAAGAACTGACCCATTGATAGCCATATTCTAAACCGATCTATATCCAAAATGATTATATGGTCAACAATATACAAAGATTTTTTTTTTTACAAAACCGATTACATTTTATGGAAAAGTACAGACAGGCCCATTGCAAATTTATGGATTCCACTGCATACCTATAAACATTCAAAATGTCAAACACCCCCACTTCTATGCACTCGTAAATAGGCATCAATTTTGAGCTAACACTTACCCCCACTGTACTTTGGGCCTAAAAATTGTGATGGGCTGAACCATCGTTCTTCCTATATTTTATGTCTAAAAAGTAAGTTTATAAGAGCATATAAGATAATTATGGTTAAAAACACATTTTATGATTAAAATATCGATACGGTACGCCCGATACGGGGTGTATTGTATCGATATCAGACCTAACAGGAACAAGATACGTCACGACTAAATACATACTTTGCCAGTCATACGTATCGGTCCGATACCGCCATTATACCGACGCGTATCATATAGTATCAAACGCATCGATACAACAACGTATTACAGGTCCGCGTCCATACCATCGTATAAACCACGTCTCACTTAAAAATGTTGAGGCCAGCATGATTTGAACATAAAACTAACCTTACAAAACGAACCAGGAGCATGCCTCTTCAACCACCAAACCACTTAAAACATTTTGATAAAAGGAGAAACACATTAATATTTATTACATGTCTACTAGTCTACATATAACCCAAATAAATAATATATATCAACAATTCCAACTATAAATTGAAAAGAATAATTTTTAAAATTAGTATTTTAAGAACAATGGAATAAATAATTTGTCAAATTTACATATATACCAAATTTTGATTTTTTATTTCAAGATATTTATACAAATAAAATTATTATTAGTAGAATAATTATTTTAATACTTTAAATTTATAAATTTGCACATTATATATATATATATGTATATTCAATTTTTTATAAATTATTAATTAATATTTTAATTTGCACTAAATAATAATGTCCTTACTATTGAAAAAATAAAAGCATTATTTACAAAATATTTGAGAATATAACATAAATTGAATTGTTCAACTCCACTAGTCTACATTTATATAAAAATAAAATAATTTTATATTTTAGAAATTTTATAAAATAAAATATTAATAATGGAATAATTATTTTAGTAATTAAAGTTTATGAATTTTAATATGATATATATCTTTCAAATTTTAATAGATTTGGTATATTTTAAGTTAAGATTATATATTTTTATAAATTATTAATTAATACTTTAATTTATATTTTATAATAACATATTTATTTTTTATAATAACATATTTACTTGAGAACTTTTTTTGTTGATTTTTTATTAATATTAAAAATAAAATTAGTAAAATAGAAATATTGATATAGTAATTAAAATATAATAGTTGCATATGTTTTGTGCACTGGACTTTAATAGAAAATAAAATAATAATGACTTTGTGCATGTATTAATTTCTAAGCATATATATAATATGTCTTATATTCTTGATTGATGCACTATCAATAAAATTGCATAATATCTATGCATCTCTCTATATTAATGGTAATATATCTCTTCATATATACCATTAAATATAAAGCTCCTATGTATTTATATATTATTTATAATTATTTTGACATTAAACTTAATATTATTAATATATTTATGGAATTTCTGTGCATTTTCCTAGTATATCCAAGCGTTTCTATATTTTTTCGTCCGTATCCATGCGTTTCCTAAACGTATATGTATCCAAATTATCCGATACTGATACTTTGATCATTGATTTTATCAGCATATTTAGCAAGGCTTTTAAAACCATACCGGACATGGAATCGTTATGGGGATCGGTTTTCGGGCCAACCGGTCCAATCATCTGATCCGAATGGATGACCTGCTTTGACAAAAATTAAAAAATAAAATAAAAACAAAAAACAGCCAAAAACCATTGTTTAGATTGACGGCTTGACCGCCCAATTCACTAACCAAATCAACTGATTTTGGCAAAAAAACCTGTCTTTGGAATAATCAAAATGAAACTATAAATTATTATTATTATCATTGGTAATTATAATCATTAAATATAATTCGGTCCAATCAGATCAAATCCAATTGTCCAAATTAATAATTGGTTCAATTTTGAATATTTGTTGTAGTCCTGATTAATAATTATAGTTGGACTTGCTACCATGATAGTAATTATAGTTGGACTTGCTATCCCCTATCATGAACAAACCCCAACCCATTGATTCGAGCTTGCACATGGACACTGCCTAGATGAAGCATATTGAACAGGGGACGTGGTACGTGGAGACTCTGTGGTGCCAACAACCCAAAACATTTGGTTGTTAACTGCTCATCGACAACAGAAGAGGAGAGAGAGGGTAGAGTTCAGCAAAGGAGGAGAGAGAGGGCGCAGTCATGTAAAAATGGAAAAGAAGAAGAGAGAGAGAGGGGGTACCCACAACAGCGGAGTGTTATTTAATAATTTAAGTGATAATTTGAGGGGGTAAATTTGTAAAATGCACATTTTTCAGATGTTAAATCATTCACATTGCCTGATAACTTCGTCACATTCCGAAATGTACAAAAGTAGAAAAGCAAATTTTCTTTAAAATATTTTCAGAACTTTTTCAAAGATTTTTTTTGCTTTTTAAACTTATGACTTCAGATTTACTGAACACCACCTTAGCTTCACATTTGTGCCAGGGGGGCAACTCAGCTTGTCTCGAATTAGTATTTTACATTGCTTTAAGTTCAGGCATCAAGCTGGGCCCATTAAAATTTTTGGCAAAAAAACCTAACCTGAATCCGCCCAAATTGCACCCCTAAATTATATGTATAAATATCATGTAAACATTTGTTTATGTATACAAATGTTTATGTATACAAGTGTTTATGTATATATGTATGTATTGATATAGCATGTATGTATGTATGTGTGCGGTTATACATCCACTAATGTATATATGCATCTATGTAGTTATTTATTCATGAATTTATATATTTATCTATCTATTTGCATGTATATGACAACAATTTTACGTTTGAAGAGCAAAAAAAAAAATCTCAGCATGATAAGTATGTCCTTTTACATTTAATAATGGTAAAACCAAATTCGCCTCAACAACTAAATGAAAATATATATAGAGAGAAGTTGTGACAACTCGAGCCCAACCAAACCCCAAGAAGTTTGGATTTGGTTAAGCTTACGTTTGAGGGCCCCATAGCTTGGGTTGGGTTAGGGTGTTGACCTGAAACCCGACTTGCATCCCTGTTATCTATATGCAAAATATGGATACTAAAGTTATTTTGGAGGCAAACAATAAAAAGAGAAGCATTTAGGCATGTTTTACACTTGTTTTCATCAAATCCATGTTAAGGGTTTTATCATCCTATATATGTTTCCATCAAACCCATGTTTATGGTTTCATTCCTATGATTTATTGTTGTTTATATCCATTTATCCATTTATATATAACATTTAGGCACATGCCACGCATCTCTAATATCATATATTATCATATTAAATAAAAAATATGTATGATAATAATAACAATAATTATTGTTATTGTTGTAGGTTGGGTGGTAAGGCTATAGAGAGGGGTTTCCTTGAAAGATAGAGGATGACTGGATAGGTAATACAAGGAAAGGGTGCTTAGTGTGGGAAA